TATCCGCAGCCTCAAGTGTCGTGGAGGGTGAACGGTTGGAACTGTTTCGAACCGTGAGAATGCGGAGGGTGCGACATTAGAGCCCGGCGAGCTACGCGTTGCCGAATATCCATTTTCTGTTTGTTCGAAGACTTGAGTAAGCCTAGAACACACCTTCCCGTCAAAATCACTGGGTAATAATTCATTCGGAGCCGGATCCCTTTTATTTCTTATGAGTTCGACTGTGAGAAACGCTGGAAAGATGCTTGAAAAAACTGCTCGTCCTTTCCGTGCGAACAGCTCCTACAGTTCAGAATGTCGCAGCTGTGGTTCTTTGTTTACCAATTCGTGACGTCGATGTCATGGACATCATGGAAGTTCACTACTTCTAGGATTGCAACTTTTCTCTGTCTTTATTTGCCTCTCCGGATGTTATTCACAGCAAGAACCACAAACAAGTGAATCTTTTTTTAATCATGACTGCACATTGATTTTTTATCAGTGGAACGGAAGTGTAAATAAAACTGCGAAATGCGAATGCTGTCAACGTACCTGTCTAAATATTAATAATGGCGATACGAAGATAAAGAGTTAGATTTTTTTGGTGCTCTCTAAAATAAGTTGCGAACAGTCAAAAGTGACTTATAGCTCTTCGCTCATACCTCGGTGGTCCAGTAAATGCACCGTAAAGCGGGTCAAAGTGGAACGCAAGGTGAATAGCTTCCAACATTGGTGCACAATATTTATTACCGATTGAGTCTTGAAATAAACGTCCGACAATTGGATAAATTAAAGAATTCAAAGAGGGTTGACAGACTGGCATCAATAACAGCTGAAATGAGCAAAAAGTAAGGAATGAGCCAAGAATGTAAGTGAGCAAAAGAAGTCGAAGCATTCTCGCTGTATAATGAATGAGTCATTCTCCGATTTCCATACAGAGGAGGCTAGCACGCCTTGAGAAGCTAGGGATGGAAATGGTAACGACGCCAGCATTTTCGTTACCGGCAATTTCCAGTAGGACTGTTTGAAAGCAGTAACAAACGATAATGTCAAAGGAAAAGAGCCAAGATTGTGCAACAAAAGCAAATCGCGATCCCCGTTACACAGATGTCATTCATGTGGGAGCCGTGTTAGAATCAATCATGAGGTTAGCGAAGAAAGCAGCCCACACAGCCAGCTGAGCTCCCTTTCTGCCTTTCATTTCTGGTAGTACTTTCTGGAAGAAACCAGTTCTGATTCTTTTCAAGATTCAAACGGACTTAGCCAAACATTTCAGACAAGCGTGACTCAAATCCCAGCTTAAAATGGTGCGACTCATTTTGCAGTCCGACTAGATGGCTGTTATGACTACTCGAAATACTCTGGTTTTTGGCCAGTACTAATCTCCTTTCCTCTAATATTCTCGGAAACATTCACCACGAGCAGAATTGTGATCACCGGTGAAGAGCGCGTCGTCTCGGCCGTCGCCACTGCAGTACAGCTACCAAGGAGCGTACGTTTGCTGCGCTGCGGCTCGCGCAATGAGTGAAGATACTTCCAGGGTCATCTCTTAACGGGGCCTGTCCGCGTTTATCTTCTTGGGCAGACGGGATATCGCACTACGTAGCGCATTCTCCCATCAGGTGAGAATTGCGATTTATTCGCCTGCCTAAGTTCGGGTGTTTTGCTTACAACTCAGCCTTGATGTGATAGCACCGTTCGCTCTGCTGTTACGATGTGTGGTACCCAAGGCAACCTCATACGATACATCTTTATGTAAATTGCTTTTTCGACACAACGTGCTTATTTTCAGTCATAAAGGCACATGACTTTCATCGTCTTCCCTTCATTCCAGGCGTCACATCCGTACTGTGTGGCTCCAGAAAGTGTACGAATCTGAAAGAAAACATTTGAACAAAGTTTGAAACCCGATTGAAAATCC